CTCCCTTTCCTGAATTACATACTTTTGTAAAGGGTATAACACTGGCAATAAACCTCTATTCTTGTATGACATAAATTCTCCTAGTTTGTGTGGCCACTATATGCTCAGTTCTGAACTCTAGTAACTTACCTCATACTTGAAAATGGAAACAATACAGAATCCTTGTTTTCTGGGCTTAGAGAACTCCTGAGCTCCTGGGGTGGGCATTCTAAATTTCTCAATTACTAAAAAGACAGATGGTTGTATGGTGGCAGCTACACAAATTATATTTCAAACTGATAAACTTTGCCAAATACAGCACAAACTGTATTTGTGATTCTGGTGAATCATCATCTAATATAGAGTGAAGTTAAAACAAGTATTTGTTATTATAAGAGATGTTTCATGTTTTTAAACATGCAAGCAATTTAGTAGTGGGAGGCTTCTCCTTTGTCATATCACTGAAGTCCTTTGAAGTCTATTCTTCAGGATTTCTACAAGCCTGGAACAGATCTTCTCCCATCTAGAATTAAAATAATTTTCCTAATTATATTTGTCTCTGTTAGGTTCCCCAAAAATTCATTCACATTAAACAGTTATCACTCTATTTGTGATTGTCACAGAGCTTAAAATATTCTTGCAGTGAGATGAATTATTTTCAGAACCATTTTGAATTCAAAGATACAAAATGAATTTAAAAGAAGCTCAGATTTGTTTTGCCCACCCTTCAGAATCCTAAGTGTTCACCTAATAGACCCAGGCAAGTTTCTTGCATATCAGGATCAAAATTTGTTGTACTTGGGATTTATTTGTCCCCAAAGAATTCTGTAAATATATTTAAAATAAAAGTTTGTTTTTTAAAAAGAGAGAAAAATATGTTACAACAAAGGCTTACAGTTCACAGTTGAAGCTTTACTTTTGGGGCTTTGTGTCTTCAGTAATAACTTAGGCAGAACTGCATGGTAGTGTATCACCTAGTTTGTACCCGTACTTAACTGCATCCTGTTATGGTTTGAGTTTCTCCATTTGCTGATATTCAGAGTGCACCATGTGTATGCACATACTAAGTATTTGGCATTGTTCTGCCCTACTTAGCTAAATTTCATATAAAAAGCACAGAGAATCCTGAAGGCATGCCTGTATGTCAGTTTATTATATCCATTTGCGAAGAATGGGTGGCAAACAACTACTTTCCAAAAGCAAGTAGTAAGTATTTATGAACCCTGCAGAATGCATGCAGAAATAATTTGGGGAACTGGTCATATCTGACCCAAAGTTGGGGAACACTGTAACATTTTGGATCGGTGATATGATTGTGACAAGATTAACTTTTTATATATTGAGAGTTTCTGTATTGTGCATGGCTGGCATCCTCACAGTATTAGATGAGCTACACCCACACTTCATTTTGTAAAAATTAAATTAATGCAAATGCTGAGTTCTGTTGTCATTGTATGTGTGTGTGTGTGAAAGCATGTGTGTGTGTGTGAATGGCATTGTCCAGTCTCTGTATACAGTACAGTAGTCTCTGTTAAATCAAACAATTGTATCTTGTGTTTTTCTTAATTGTTAGCTGCTTGGAAATTTGAGTCAGGTAACTCTTGTCATTGTAAGTATTGTTCAGCCCACAGTTTCACCAGTTCCCTTCATCTGACTGCTTTCAATGCATGATGATTCAAACTGGCTGGCTCCACCACTGCACTTTCATTGCCCCGAAATCTTGAATTTTCCAGCTTAAGAGACAGGATGCTTTCAAGAAGGCTGCATGGCCAATCTCATTCTGCTTATGTTCCTGAGGCACAGTTGTTCAAAGCGAAATACTCCTTGTGCACAACAAGGCATCATCTAACATTCACTAACCAAAATAATTGTGTGCAGGTTTTTTTAATTTTAGAGATATTTCGGTTAGACAATTACAATACTTCTGTTATAGCACTTTACCTTCTGCAGACCGACAGAGCACTTCCAGAAATTTAGTGCATGGTTTCTCACTTCTAATAATAGTCTGCAACTTAAAAAACATAATATACAATCATCTTGCTTTTGCTTTCACTCTTGTTTCCTTGCATGAAAATAGGAAAGTGTACCTGTTCATAATGGAAGGAAATATGAAAATATTTGTTGATGACATTTTACATAAATATTAAACTGTGATGAAAAGTGTAGTGATTCTTGAAAAGAATTTCCTTTATAAAGGTAAAAGATGAAAATTAGTTTAGACCACAATGGAATTGGCTTCTACAGCTCGATATCATTTATTCAGCAATTTAAAATTTTATTTATTGGATTTAAATATAGCAATGTAATTTTGGATTTATAATCAAGACTTAGAGGTGGCTTTTAAGTGGCTTGCTGATAAAAGGATTGTACCCACATTCAAGGAGTTCAGCTCCTTTTTAAACTGGTGGTTAGCATTTGTGGTAAATACAGTAGAACTTTTTATCCACTAAAATGGACATTTGATGGAAATGCCATCCATATTGTACATCTCATAAAGGGAAATATGATTGCATTTGTCATAGAATGCTAGCCATCTTAAAGTTAGGTTTTCAGCTGTGGAATTAGGAAGTTATGTGGTTGTGAGTTCAAGATGCATACTGTCAGCTACATTAAATTTCAAGCAGAAGACACTGATTTGTCGCAGTAAATTAAAAATATTCTTCAACCTATACAAAGTAACATAGAATAAACACTTTTTTATTTTGGTAGAGATTTTATAGAGTAATTACTTGCTAAAATAAAACTTTTTAGAATTGCTAACTTATTAATAGAGCAACTTGATTTGGTACAATTTAGACCACACCCAATAAGCGAGGTGTTTCCTCCTCCTTCTTCTTTTTCCTTTAAAAAAGAAAGACTGATGTTTGCAATTGTGTTGGAGATTTTTGGTATTAAGTCTTATATATTCAAAGTCTAAAAGCCCAGTTTGTCTTAATCCATTAACTGAAGTGTCTTTAGTATATGGCAGACATGCAGAAATATATGTCTTTATATTTGAAATACTTTCTGTGAGTAGAGTGAACTGAAGAGGCAAATGCTTTGCCTTGGGCAAATAGGCTTGCTTATTGTATTTCAATACTGAAACGACACCACTCTCAAGGCATTCCTTATAATTTGATCTATGTTCACATATGGGAAGAAAAAATTATATTTGGAAGCTGAATACGAAACAGTGGCAGAATAATTATTATTAGACCTGCAATTATTAGAGCAGTGGAGTGATCTGGATTGAAAGGGGAAAAAGTGATTTGGAATGTGCAGGGCTGCTCATATTGCATCTGTTGGGAGCTCCTTAAAGAAGCAGTATCTTTTTCTGAGTTTACACACAAAAAAACACTAATTTATTACCGTGACTTCTATATCACTTTGGTCTAACTGGCCCTAATCCACTTACAAATGAAACAAAACAAACAAAAGGAAATCTACTTGTGTCACTATTTACAACATAGACTCATGGCACCCTCTTGTTCTCCTGTCACAAACTTCATTTCTTCTGTTCTGAAAACGTCTTTTAAAAAGCTGGATCCTAATAAGCTTCTAAAAAAAAACCACCAGGAAAGGATACCATCTCACCTCTAGGGGCAAGCTGTTTCGCAGAAGGTTTGCTTCCAAGCCATCTCCTCTCAAGTTTCCAGATGGGTGAAGACTTCCATCATTCACACACTGCTAACTCTTATGGGGTGGGCAGAGTTTACCCTTAGTATGTAGTCTTAAAGATAACTAGGTCTAAAGCCATATAGGGCTTTATAAGCGATAATCAGCACCTTGAATTGCATATGGAAACAGATTAGTAGTCGATGCAGCTCCCACAACAAAGTGCACCAAAAAAATCATGGGTCTGACCTGTTATCAAATGGGCAGATTCACCTGTAGTGAATTATAGTAGATTAGCTAAAAGAAAACGGACAGGAGTAACAGCACCTCCCATTCCAGGAAAGATCACACTTGTCATACGGCCATAACTAGATGAAAGCCTATTTGGCCACAGCTCCACCTTTTCTTCAGGCAGGAGCCATGAGTCTAGGGATATGACTAGTTGTAAGGCTGCTCTTTCAGGGGGAGCACATGCCCATCCAAATGTGAAGTTGATATTGTCCTGGAATCAGTTCACTTCTGAATTAACATAGTCCATCTTGCTTGCATTAAATTTGAGCCTGTTTTTTCCCCACCTGAACTCTTAACAGCCTCCAGGCACCTAGTCACACCTCCTACTGCATCTCCTGTTCAGCCTCAGGTGGAAATATACAATTAGGTATTAACTTCACATTGATGATATCTCACACTGTGTGAGTAGATGACCTCTCCAAGTGGCTTCATGTAGATGCTAAACTGAATAGGAGAGAGCACTGAACTCTGGAGCACCTCAATGTCAAACTTCCCTCCTTGTAGCCTAGGCTATAAACGGTTAGTCCAAGGAATACAAATCGAGGAACTCATATGAATAATATTATGAGAAGGAAAGTTAAGGTTACCAAACAAGAATTCTGGTGAGCACTCACTTTTGAAATGAAAATCCTATATATAGGCAATTTAGGGCTGTAAAATTATTGCTTCTCAAGCTGACAAAAAGTTACTGAAATAGGGCACAGATGCAGACTGTCCCACCTTCACAAAGGAATTGAGCTTCTAGCCACCTATACTGGAAAGGCTTCATTTTATCCTTTTAACAACAACATCTCTTTAATAAGCTGGGTTGAGAGAGGATGACTGGCCCATGTTCACCCTTTGAGTTACCATGCCTAAGAATATGGGTCTCTCCAATCCTAGTGTACCACCTTTAACCACTATACCGCACTGCATATGGTACAATTCATGTTTTTTAAATCCTTTTGGTACTTATTGCAATCTAACCCGTGGCCATCCTTCTCCATATCTGCAGTTTGATGTTACAAGACATTAAAAAAAATCTCAAGATTGCTGTCTAAGTGAAATGTTGCACGAACATAAGACTTGATTATCCTAGTTACCTAGTATCTCCTTCATTTTTAGTAATACAATCTTCTTTTCTTTCTATAAAACAGATTGGCGGGTGTTGCAGCCTAAATGTATTTTCAGTACGGGACAATCGATTATCTAGGATTCCACCAGAGATATCTCATGCCACAGAACTTCATGTTCTTGATGTAGCTGGAAACAGGCAAGTGTTCATATGTGCTCTAAACCTAAATTAATTTTGTAGTGGATTTGAATTGGCAGCTTTCTTAACATTCCTACTGTGGGAATGGTGGGCTGGGGGTGGGGGGAATCATTTGCAATCTAATGTCAAAGGCTGCTCCCAGTTAAGTCAAAGCAATATTGACTGATGAATCAATATCACTGGATTATTTATAGCCACACAGAATGGTAATAACAATTGAATTTTCAAAAACACAAAGATGTTATACTCTTGTCCCTGGGAGGATGCTTCAGGCCAGTGGATGTAGTGGGTCCCTTTCGCTCACTCACTGCCAATGGAAAGGAAGTTACGCAAACAGAGAAGTTAGTCCTCAGCTGCATAGTCCATCACCTTTCCTATTCAGCTAGATGCACCCTGAGGTTCCCTTATTTAGCTTCTGAGGATTCTGTTCTGACTATACTTTTAAAAGTAGATGCACATTTTCCTGTGAAGAAGAAAATAAGTATTCCAAGTTTAAAAATCCCTTACCATAACTATTTCAGTAATATCAGTGAGCTGATGGTGACTGAATGTGTTCTTGTCTTCTAGATTTTTTTAACTAATAAGCCTAGCCTACAGCTCTAGCATTTTGTGATAGACTCCCTTCCCAATATAATCAGTTTAGCTTTTTGACATCAGCTAAGAGGGGCTAGGTGTTGCCACAACAGATAGTTGGAGGTCTGTACATTCAAATAACTAAAATATAGCAGCATCCAGATGATCTTGACTTGGAATACCTAAGAATGGTTGAACTTGCTTAGTACTTTGAGGGGTGATTCCCACAAATGCCAAGGCCATAGATGAGACTTGAAAGTCTGAGGGGAAGCAGAGGAACATCTCAGAAGAAGACAATGGCAAACCTTGTCTATATTGTTGCCATTGACATGTCCATGTAGTTGCCAGGAGTTGAGTTCCACTCAAGGGAGTCTTCACCTTTTTACTGTGATAGGTTATGGGATTTTCTGTTTGTAGGAATAGGATAAGCATTAGTACTTGGCTTGAAGCAGTTCACTACTTTGCACTTGCATTGTCTGGGTCTAATATAGCAGCACTTGATACAGAATTTACTTGTATCTCTCCTCCGCTAATTCCAATATACAAAATGCATGAAGTATGAATTGGGGGCCAATTGAGGGGTAGAAAAATAATCCTGCCCAAAAGAAATACAATGTTTGATGATAAACAATGTGATATGTAAATCCCAAGTTCTTTCCTGGGCACAGAGTATGTTTCTTATTTATCTGTCTCCACATCATGAATAAACAATGTAGTAAATCTGTGCTTGGAACAGCTGATATCTTACAGACTTTAGCATAACTACATAAGAAATCCTAAATTTGTATGGCACTGCAAGGGGAATATTTGCTAGGGGGCTCTTACAACATGAAAAGATAAGTTTGTTTTACTTTTTATTTGAAATATATTCTCTTTTCTTTCCAAAAGGGGATAGTGGATTAATTTCTTTGTAGCACAAGCAACAAATATGCTGCAAAATTCTTTATTGTTTTGCTTTATTCTGCGTAGCTGGATAAGAACTCCTATAACTGATTCCTTGTTTTCTCTGTTAGGTTGATACATCTTCCCATGTCACTCACTAGCTTGAAACTGAAAGCTTTGTGGTTGTCTGATAACCAGTCTCAGCCTTTGCTTACGTTCCAGACAGACACAGACCCTGAAATGGGAGAAAAAATTTTAACATGTGTTTTACTTCCTCAAATGCCTTCTGAGCCTAGTTGCCAAGGTAAATATTTTTGGAGATCATTTTCATGTGAAGCAAAGATGGCTTTAGTCTGGATAACAAGAAAAACCAACAATCCTCCTTTGCCTTCATAACAGCATGGACATATACAGTTGTGTGAAAAAGAAAGTACACCCTCTTTGAGTTCTATGGTTTTATGTATCAGGACATAATAAAAATCATCTGGTCCTTAGCAGTTCTCAAAAGTAGGTAAATACAGCCTCAGATGAACAACAACACATGGCATATTATACCATGTCATCATTTATTTTACAAAAAGCCGCCTCCATTTTCTACAAAAATGGCTTCTCCATTTTGGCTTTCTTTTTGTAAAATAAATGATGACATGGGATAATATGCCACAGTTCTCAAAAGTAGGTAAATACAACCTCAGATGAACAACAACACATGATATATTACACCATGTCATCATTTATTTTACAAAAAGCCGCCTCCATTTTCTACAAAAATGGCTTCTCCATTTTGGCTTTCTTTTTGTAAAATAAATGATGACATGGTATAATATGCCATTTGTTGTTGTTCATCTGAGGTTGTATTTACCTACTTTTGAGAACTGCTAAGGACCAGATGATTTTTATTATGTCCTGATACATAAAACCATAGAACTCAAAGAGGGTGTACTTTCTTTTTCACATGACTGTATAAAATATTTTAAATGTACAAATTATGAAAGATGTTAGTGTTGTGGAAAATATTCTGTTACCTAATAATGAAGACACCAACAAGTAAAGAGAAGGTTCTTTTATTAACGGAACAAGGGCCATTAGATCTCTCCCACTTCCCTTAAGCAAGGGTAGGAATATATTTTCTTCAGTTATCTTGTTTGTTCCTAGTTTGTTACATCAAACTGGGTAAATCACTTGTTTTTGAAGAAATGAAATATATGTCAGTGGAACACCCCTAAGCCCCTTTCCATTGGCATACATTCCATATACAGGTGCCATTTTAATAATAATAATAATAATAATAATAATTATTATTATTATTATTATTATTATTATTATTTA